GGCCAGGTGGCATCATTGATGGACTCAAGTGTGGCAGCGGTAATGAGGTTGGCCCAGGATCAGACATTGTTTCATTCTGCTGTGCATGGGGTCGCTATGAGTCGGTTCGGACTCGATGGCACCTGACAACAACACCAACCACCACCTCTAATCCTGCCTCATCACTGTCACAGAGGAGAGGGTTTATATACCTAAAATAAGCACCGCAGGTCACGGAATGGAGGATAATTACGTAACACTGAGAATCTGGGTTTAGTCATGTTGACAGATATTTGGGGGGAACAAAATTCAGTCCATGACACAGCCCCCACCAATCACTTGATGGCGTTAAGACAACGGCTAGAGGTGAGCAAGCAGGAGAGAACCCCACCCTTTGCAGTAGGAGTGGGGATTGGGCAACAGCTGTCTGAAGAAAGTACGTCTGAGGGGAACTGACCCACTGTGGCGGGGTAGTGGCGAGGGAGAATGGGGAGTGAGGAGGTTGTCAGATGACACAACTAGGGGAAATGTCAGGAACAGATGGGACAGAGAGCAAGGTTGGGTGTGGACGCCAAGACCAGGTGGGCATTCCAGAAAGTTCAGTCAGACTTCAGGAGCCTTACTGAGGCCCCTGACCTCAAAAGTGAAAAACCAGTTGCCCTTGAATTGCTTCTGACGCGTGATGATCCCGTGTGTATCAGCATAGAACTGTGTTCCACAGTGTTTCCAGTGGTTGATTTTTCAAAAGTAAATGAACAGACCTTTCTTGTGAGATGCCTCTGGGTGGGGTTGAGCACGTTAACCATTTGCACCACCCTGGGCCTTCACGGTGCATTTAGTTTGTGGGGTCCCCTCTGGTTGGGGCTAACTGCCCCTCCACCATCAGTGGGACCTTGACTTGGTGAATGCCACCCCTCCCTGAGGAATGCCTTGTTGGTGAATTACCTTGGGAAGAGTCTCACCAAACTTCACCACCAACTCCCCTTCGCTTCCTTCTTCATTTTCTCCTTCCTGACTCTTGACAAAGCCTACCAGAGGACAAGAAGGCTAGTTTTCAGAAAACTGAGCTAGAACTAGACAGAGGGAACTCTGGGATAGTAAAAGACAGCCCCTGTCCCCGATTTGTAGCTTCAGGGTCCTCAGCATCATGGAGGGTCTAGATTGTGGGGGATTCTGCTTCTGTGGAGAGGATGGTCATCTGACAACACACTCTAATTATTTTTGGAAAATTGGGAAGATTCTCCCTCCTTCCTGGCTCCTCTTTGCCACAAACCAGGCAACAAAGAAATCTTCACATCCCAGGCGAGAGGATTAGGGAAACATGACAAGCCACTCAACACAGCACCCTTTTGAAATTCTAATTTAAGCTTCCTCATATGCTGTTTCCATAGAAATGTATGCAAATGTCTGTAGAGTTTATTAAAAACACCCGCACAAAGCCCTCATCCTTTATGAAGGGTTCTGACCCTGGGTCCAGAGGCCAGGACTCAGAGCCTTTGTGTAGTGGGCTGTTCTGCCATCAGGACAGAGTTCAGGCTTCGTCTGAGAGGAAGGGGCAAGGGTGGGGTGGCACAGAGCTGGCAGCAGCCACTGCCTTCCAGAGTTTTGGAAGCTTCCCTCTCAGAATGCCTCCTTTAGTGGAGCTGAGTCTCTGGACCTTCTCAGTGAGGAGAACTAGAAATCACACAGCTTTCCTCATGCCATGAAGCAGCTTTAGACAATATGTCTACGATGCCACCAGAAAGAGTGTTTCCCAAACACAGTGTGTGCGGTCAGCTGCTGGCTGAGAGGTGGCTGCCGGTCTGTAAGTGGCTTTTGGAGGCTCCAGACCACCTGAGAAAGATGTCCATGATGGCGGGAAAAAGCCTGGGGAGGCAGGGGGGGAATAAAAGTTTGCTAGAACTGCAAGGTCCGTGGTTCAAGCTCACTAGCTGCTCCTTGGAAACCCTATACAGGGTCGCTATGGGTCGGAATTGACTCGATGGCACTTAACAACAAGTGGCTGTTCAGGCCCCAGCGCAGGCCTCTGTAAGTTCTAGAACTTTCCACAGAGCTCTCTGGTTGAGTTGGAGCTCTGGCTTGGAGGAACTCTCAAGGGTGTTAGACTTTGTTTAGAGGGGCCAGGGAGATGTTCTGGTCCCCCACATAGAGCCAAGGGGGTCATCGGGTCATGACTAAATCCACGAGTGAACCCTACCCTCCCACACCACAGGCCACAGTGAGACCGCCCCTCATAGTAACTGGGTGTCCCCTGTAGAGCGTCACACAGAGGAGGAACGGGTAAAAGGACCAACCACATAGGAGACCAACAAGCACTTACTCTCCAAGCAGCTGGAGTGGAACTCCAGGTAGAATTTCGTCTGGGACTTAGTCTTCAAGGTGGCGTAGCATCGGAGAAACTCGATCTGTCCTTGGCTGTCTACTGTCCCCGGGCCTAGAACAGGTGAAAACAGGCATGCAGTTCCACAACATGCCTAGAAATGGTGCTCTTCAGACTAGCCTTCCAACTCTGAGCTAGATAGAAAGAGTTCAGGCACAGCTGGGGACCAGGTGGCAGAAGAGGTTTTCCTCCAGGTAAATCCACAAGGAGACCCACCAAATGCAGAGTCCCTTGCTGACACATGAGCTGTAGATGGTGGAGAGTGGAGCTAAAAGAAGGAGGCGGCCAAGGGCTGAGAGATCTGAACTTTGCCACTAAACTGTGTGGCCTTGGGCATTCTTCTTAGCCTTACTACCTCCGTCTCCCAATTAGTACCCACAAAGAGTTATAAAACGGTGCTGTTGCTCCATTTTCAAATCCATTCAGGTCTCAGTTGTTGACAGTGAGGGTCGCTCTTCTTCGTGTCTTAGGTACAGCTACTCCTTCCCTACTCCTGATGCTCAGTTGTACTCATAACTTGTTCACGATCTGTTAGTAGTTTGGATACAGCTTTTGCAACGTCCTCGAGCTGTTTTTGAAAGAGCCTCGGCAGTCTAGCGGACTGCTCATTGGGCTGCTAAGCGCAAGGCCAGCAGTTCGAACCTACCAGCAGCTCCAAGGGCTTCTGTAAAAACACACAATTTTGAAAAACCCTAGGGAACAGTTTTACTCTGCCTGACAAGATTGCTACCAGTTGTGGCTGCGAGTGTGGTTTTCAGGTTCTACAACGTGTTCTGAAGGAGAGTTATATCCTTCCATATAAATCCTGAGCCACTAAGAGCAAGGACAAAGATTTTCTTCCTTCATCCCTTCTTCCTTGTTTTAAACCCCACAGCACCCAATTTCTGCTTAAGTAGATGTTCAACCAATGTTTGATTCAAGTCATCAGTATTTATGAACATCTGCTAGGTCTGAGAACCTACTTGACGGTACTTAAAAACAACACTATGTCCGAGTCCCAGGCCCAATGGAAGAAGCCAAGCTTGACGCCAAGGGCACTCTATCTAGTAATCAGGGTTGACATGGCTTACTCTACCCATCGATGCTGCAGAAACTCAAAGAAAGAGGAGATGGTAGAGCTGAAAGGCTAGGAAGTGTCTGAGGAAGGCACAGTGGCCCGAGCTAGGAGGGAGACAGCATGGTGGGTCCCACTGCCAGGCCTTGGACATCAGACCCAACAGTTAGAGAAGAATGTCCCAGGAGGACAGCGATGTACCTCACCTAAGTGTCTTCTGTTACAAAGGCCAGAGCAGGATCCTCTTTCTACTGGGTTTGGTGCCCCACACTCAGCCTGCCTCTGATCACAGCTGTGGGGGTGAGCAGAGGTGGCGGGGGGTAGGGGGGAACAGTAACATTGCTCTCTTGTCAGCCAGGCATAGGCGGGACTATCTGAGAAATTACCTGCAAATCTAATTACTATTTACCAATGTGTTTCCTAACCCCAGTCATCTGCATCCTAGCTCTGCCTGTCACATATATGTACTAATATTTACCTAATGTTTTCTTTAAATAGAAACACTTTTTAAACTTAAATAAATGTATTTAAATAAGAAATGCAGAACTCACAAGAAAACTAACACTGTCTCTCCAACACAAAAAGACAAAATTAAAACCCGTGAAAAGAAACGTAGTCCTTAGAAATGTCTGTCCACCTCCCACCCAAAATTGTGTTCAGTGGCACATGTATCACACCCAGGGAGCCAGGGACTAACTAAATTTCAGACTATACTGACACTGAGGCTTACAAAGCTGATCTATTTGCCATACAGAGCAATTAGTTTCTCTAAACTGAACTGGTGTGACGTGGTTTGGACATGAAAACACTGAATGATGAATGGTGGACTTGCCCTCAAAGATGTGATTTCATGTCAACCAGACAACTGACAGATGAGGCTCAAAGCAAGTTGCTTGAGGCCTCCCTGTCTTTGTGGAGAAGTGGGCAAAGGGTGCGCCAACCACTCACCGTTCTTGGAGACAAACTGGGAGGTGACCCCTGCCTCAAACGTGGCGAAGACGGGGCTGTGGTCACTGGTCATGATGTCAGTGGTGCTACCTGCAGAGGAGGGAAGACCAGTCTGAGCCAAGGATGGCAAACGCGAGGAAGAAATGAACTCATGTTTCTGGGACACCCTCACAGTTAGAGTTTTACATGGACTGTCTCTTCGACTTTGTACAAAGACTCATGTGACCCTGTCTCCTCATGGACTCATGGACATTTGGACAGATCATGGAGTGTTAATCATGGAGAATCTTCTAGACTCATTGCTTTATTTGAGTGACGAGGAGCCCAAAGTCCGGAGTAAGAGGACGTCAGGTTAGTCAGCTCATCCGTGAGGGAGACAGAGCACCTTTCCCCACCCAACAAACCCTCGAAGGGCCAGGAAAGTGTGGGGGCGAAGTGGAGACGTTAAGAAGCTTGGAGCATGGAGAAGGAGAGGCAGCAGAGAACATCGTGGGGGTATGACAAGGAACACTGTTCTAGAAATCGTGAATTTTTTCTGACATAGTCAGGAAGAGCTGTCTGGCAGGAAACTCAGGGGTAGAGATAAAAACTGGAAATCATGAGACTAGGTGGAAGCTGAAACCAAAAGAAAGTGTGGGTTTCCACAGGGAAGACAGGAAGGAGGAGATGTGGGTGGAGGATGGAATTCTGGGACACACCAGCCTTTAATGGGTGGGGGCAAGAGAAAACAGCACAAGAAATCATGATGGCAATACAAGTGTTGATTATCCTTCTCTTGAAGGCTTTTAAAAATCATCAAGAAAAAGGCAAACACCGCACCCTTCAACTATCCCAAAGATCTGAACAGCAGCTTAGAAAGAAGTTCATGAACAAATGCTCACAGGCTCATGATTACCAGGAAGGCCCACAGCAAGGAGAGAGAATGAAGAAGAGGTGGTCATCAGAAGAGAGAGAGAAGAAATCAGGTACTGGGAGACAAGGAGGGAAATCGGGGTCCAGGTGGAAAGGTTAGCCAAAAGAGAAGGACATTCCTTCTCTGAGATCACAGGGAAGGAAGTGGAAAGAATGTCATGGGTTGAGTTGTGTCCTCACAAAATATGTGTCAGTTTGGCTGGGCCATGATCCTCAGTACAATGTCATTATCTCCCACTTTGCGATCTGTAGCATAGTGGGTTATGCATTGGGCTGCTAACCACAAGATCAGCAGTTCAAATCCACCAGTCGCTCCATGGAAGAAAAATGAGACTTTCTGCTTGGAAACCCTACACCGGGTTGCAATGAGTTGTAACTGACTGGACGGTACACGGCAATATAAGTAGCATGATGCTAATGAGACAGGGCACATTCTACAGGATTTGGTTTTATCTAGAGTCAGTGTCTTGAGATACAAGATTAAACACATGAGCAGAGATGAGAGGGACCTACTATCATCAAGAAAGAAGAGCCAGGAAAAGATTCTTATGATTCAATAGTGAGCAATTGTTATCATGACTAATTGCAACTGTCACAATTGTAAAGGTAGACGTTTTGTAACAAAAACAGGAGAGTAGTTAATCTTACAGTCCAGGAACAAAGGACCCTAGGACCACCAAGGAATCGACTTGACGGCACTTAGCAACAACAACGTATCTGAAAACTACCTCCTGGTATGGTGCTGTAGGCTCAGCATTGGACTGTGAACCACAAGGTTGGCACTTCAAACCCACCAGTTGCTCCTCGGAAACCCTATACAGGGTTGCTATAAGTCAGAACTGACTTGATGGCACTTAACAACATACCTGAAAATACGTTGCTGTTTGGAAACAGAGTTTTCTTTATGCTAATTAGGTTATACACGAGTAGGATGAGTTGTAAACCTAAATATTTTGGAGTTGTAAAAGACCAGGACACACACACACACACACACACACACACACAAGGAGAAGAGAAAGACAGATGAAGGAGACAGGTACCATCTACTGGAATTACTGCAGAGACCAGAAATAGATTTTTTAAACTATGTTCAAAAGCAATGATGTCACTGGGATGACTAAGGCACTTCTGGTACGAGCCTTGGTCTTTTCAGATGCCTCCTTCCAGTGAATTAGGAAGACTGAAGAAGAATGGACGCCTTGGAATTATGGGTATTAGGGAAGACCGCTGATTACCAGACTATTGACTACCACACTCTGTCTCGGAAGCAGTGCAACCAGAATGCTCCTCAGAAGCAAGAATAGTAAGACTTCATGTCATGTACTTTGAACATGCTACCAGGAGGGACCAATCCCTGGGAAAGGACCTCATGCTTGAGAAAGTCGAATCAGCAAAAAAGAAGAAGACACTTAATGAGAGGGATTGACACACTGTCATTGACAACGAATCCAAACATAACAATTGTGAGGAGGGTGCAGAACTGGGCAGTGTTTTGTTCTGTTGTCCATCGGGTGGCTATAAATCAGAACAGACTTGATGGCACCTTGAAACAATAACCAGAAACAGAAAGAGAAAGGGAAGAAGCGCCCCCGAGAGTCACTCTCTGAATCTGGACTTCTAGCCTCCTGAAATGTGAAGAAATAAATTCTCGTTCTTTAGCCAGCCCTGTACTATTTCTGTTACAGCTCGGGGAAATGAAGACAGAGGGTCAAGTTAAAGCGCTGGCAAGTTACTTTGAATAAAAAGTCTTGAAATATCTTAGGGCTTTATTGAATAACAGTAGCAGAAACACTATAACCATGCCCTTAAGCGCTGGGAGGTAGCTCCAATGAACCCTGTCTCTGAGGGGGTGGGGCAGGGCTGGAGGGCTCCTCTGCTGTCCATCGGGGTCCTAGACCTGAGATTTCATCATGTGAGATGCATACTGGAGCCCAGGAAAGCATCCTTCATCCTCATTTGGATGCCACTGTCTAGGAATTTGCAGTGTTTTAAAAACAGCAGCATGCTTCTCAGCTGGTCAGGTGTTCCAACAAATTCTGCTCTCTGAATTTTTAATATCTTACTTCACAAGAAGTGGGTACTAAGCTGTAGCTATGGAGAACAAGCATTCAAGAATAGCTGCAACGCCCCTTCCGCTTCCAGAGTTCGCTGCGACTTCTTAACTGCTTC